ATATATATATATATATATATATATATATATATATATATATATATATATATATATAATATATATATATATATATATAATGTAGATATCTACATTATATAATTATATATATCTACCTTATATATATATATATATATATATATATATATATATATATATATATATATATATATATATATATATATATATATATATATATATATATATATACATATATATATATATAGTGTAATTTTTCTCCTAAAAGTATAATTATCATTTTAAATATAATAAAAAACACAATGTTATTTAAAAAAAAATTAATTGCATAATATGCTAATATGCTTTTTAAAAAATACGGTTGTTGCAAAAAAAATTAGAATTAAAAAAAGAGCGACAATTTACATGAGAAGCAGCTTGCACAACACCCCTAATTTGTTTTAGGAGAGCTTTTCTCTGTTCTCGGACTCATTTATTCCCGTCGATATATACAGGCCTTTATATACATGTATATATATATATATATATATATATATATATATATATACATGTATATAAAGGCCTTTATATACATGTATATATATATATATATATATATATATATATATATATATATATATATATATATATATATATATATATATATATATATATATATATATATATTAGGGGTAGTCAAGAAAAAAATTTCTAAATTTAAAAAACGATACCCCTTAAATTTGGGGCAAATTTATAAAAAATGAGCCTCAAAAAGTTTGAGCCCCATCGGATCACTCTAGATCCCCACTCAAGCCAATAATTTAGGGAAAAAATAACCGGAAAGTGATTATTTTCGGCCATTTTGAGGAAGTGGCAATTTTTTTTTTTTTTTTTTATTCTATACATATATAGGCCTATATTTTTGTTCAAAAGTGTATGGTTTTTTTACTACCCCTCAAAAACCTATTTTTGTTAGTACTGAAAATGGTGAAAATTGGTAATTTTTGTAGTTAATGTTAGGTTTATATATATATATATATATATATACATATACATATATATATATATATATATATAATATATATATATATATATATATATATATATATATATATATATATATATATATATACTATATATATATATATATACATACATACATATATGTGTGTATATATGTATATGTGTATATATGAAATAAATAAACACACAGACCCCTTTGACTGTTCCCAAAACATGTCTAAGGGGAAAACCAACTTTTGCATGAGGGGGCAAGATTTCTTCCTTATGCATGAGAGGGCAATAAACTGCCAGAAAGTATAAACAGTAGTTGGCTGTAATCACTGCAATGTCAGTTACCTATATTTAAAAAAATGCTATTTATCTGCCTTGAAAAATCAAAATGTGTAAGAAGAAATAAAAAGATAAAACTATATTAGAAATTTTATAATAAAAACAATAACATTTGACAATCTAATCAATTATTAAGTTTATTTCTTTAACTTTTTCTGGATCACACCAAGCCCATCATTAAATTTACTTTTTGAAATCGTACTGGATTTTTGTTTTAATGATCTGAATACAGATCGAACTTTGTCTATTGTAATAAATCTGTTGTGTTTTTCAGTTTCATCAGAATATTTATGAACATACTGTCCCATCATACCTAAAGACCTTTCTGAATGGTCATTTACAAAAATTAAAGTTTCAGCATATTTTTGAAAACTTTTGAAGCATGATTGAGTATGCCAATAGTGGAAGTGAGAGCCAGTCTTTAACTCGTTGCTTATCAAGCCCAATCATGTCAAAAATCAGGTAAGAAAAGTTATTTACCAAGACAGACAAGGATGGTGGTTTTATACCAATATTTGTATCCATTTTATAAATTTCCTTGATATCAACTTTTACTTTTTTCTCAGGCTTAAAGTAATCAGAGCTTGGCATATCAAACGACAGGATTGCTGATGCAATTTTTACCTTCTCCTCTACTGTTAACTCATCATCTAGCAAAGCTAGAGGTATCATGGTTGAATCCAAATACCAACAATGTTTATACTGAGACTCTAATACAGCATCAACAGCTATTGGGTTTGCACATATATTTTTGTACAGATGCATTTGATGTATGGCCGTAATGTCTAGAAACGGAGCTTTGATGACATCATCAGATTGTAGATACCATTTTGCATAAAAGCAAACAATAAATTCTGTTATAAGCTTAATTTCAATTTTCAGTTTATCATTTTCTTGAACAAACGCAAGTTGATTGGATAAAAGTTGAAGCTTTAGATAATAAATTGCTTTTCCTAAAAATCTTGCATGATGAATAGCTCCAGTTTTTCTTACTTTATATGTAAAAGGGGATAAATAAGTGACAACTAATTTTGCAAGCTCACTTCTATCATCTCTTATAATACCTGATTTACCAACATAAGCTCTGCAAAATGTCAATGACTTATTAGCTGCCTTTTTCAAAAGACTGCTTTTAACCTTATTCCAATCAAATCATATCAGCTGAACTGGGTTATAATTAAAATTAGGTTCTTCAAAAATATTTTTTAGATTTTTGAAAAGAGGATTATCAGGTCCATTAGTTTTGTCGTTGGTCACTAATTTCCAAAAGTGAAGCATTCTTAATTCATTCACATGATGCCTACAGGCTATTTGGAGAAGATATTTATCCAGTTCTTTAGATATTCTAGAAACTGATCCTTTATTTGTCCCAGTGTTGGATGATGTTGTATCAAAGCATATTCCTCTAGTTTTTGACATAAGTTTATACTCCTAAATCAAATTCATTACACCTAAGAACTGATCTTCACCAGTGGATGACACTAGCGGAGGAACTCCAAGTAGGTAAGTCTCTCCATTAATGTTAACTAAAACAGCCATTCTATCCCTCTTTAATACTTTTCCTTTGTTTAGCTCAAACAAGGTCTTGCCATCAAAATGAATTATACATGGATACAGAGATGCATCAATGGCTATCTTAACATCTTCTTTTGTAATGATAGACATGTTTTTATTTTCTTTTTTCATTTTTCTATAAGAAGTAGATTGGCTGCTTTTAACTTCTTTAAGATCAACACCTGATTGGTATAGAATTGCATTTGTTATCTTCTGTAAAACATTTGGCGATATATCACAGGCTGTACCAGTAAGTGAAACATTACCAGCATAAATATCTTTTGGAATTTTTGCAATTACTGTATCTGGGTTTTCAGAGACTTCTATGTAGTACCAATCACTTGGATCAAAATCAGATTCAATTGAAGAGTCCTCACTTAAAATTGTGTCTATAAGTTCACTGTTTATATCATCTCTCGAATTCTTAGGATGTGAACAATTTTTCTTCCTGATACTTTTTTTTGCCTAATTTACAGAAAAATTGTAGTTTTAGTTTTTCATTTTAGAATCAGTGAAAAAAAGAATTAATTAACAGAGGTCAAACCAGAGCTAAATAAATTTAACTAAAAGCATTGACTACCTTTTTTCTATACTTAATATCCTCTGAACCAATAACAAACTTTCTTTCACCTTCTTGATCTTCCAGAAATTTTAAATCTTCAATCTTGTCTTATAGCGATCTCTTTTTATCTTTACTGATCATGTTTTTAAGATTAGAGTTACCAGCCCAAAAAAGTTTTTTTATTTCAATCTCAAACTCATTTTGTTTAGTCAAATCACCTATAGTTCTCCTTTTTGCATTTTTTTTCAAGTTGGAATAGGATTTATGCATATTAAAAATTTTTTTAATTAAACTTAAATCAGTTAACACATCAAAGCCAGCTTTAATCCTGGGTCTCTTGATTTTAGACAAAATACATTCACAACAATTATCTGAACATCTTAAAAATTTTTTTTAAGAGGACAAGCAATAATATTCGATATTGGTGCAGGTTTACATTGTTATTTATATATTAAATGTTGAAGAATATCCAAGCCTGTTCGAAGCTGTAAATCTAAACAGAAAAATTTAGACATTTTTAAATAAATATTTTAGAAATCAATAATTTAATAATTCCAGTATTAATAAAATATGTTTCTACCTTATATAGCTGGTTTTGCCTCTTGTATAATAAAACTTTACTTTTTCATTGACCTAAGCAGTGCTTCGCTCATTTTTAATATCTTTATTGTATTTACTTATCTAAAACTAATAAAAAATCAAAACTGATAAACTATCAGAAGTTGCACCAAAATATAAAAATATAACGAAAAAAAAAAAAAAAATCAAAAAATTACCAATTTTCACCATTTTCAGTACTAACAAAAATAGGTTTTTGAGGGGTAATAAAAGAACCATACACTTTTAAACAAAAATATAGGCCTATATATGTATAGTAAAAAATAAAAAATAAAAAAAAAAAAAAAAAAAAATTACCCCTTCCTCAAAATGGCAGAAAATAATCACTTTTCGGTCATTTTTTCCCTAAATTATTGGCTTGAGGGGGGGTCAAGAGTGATCCAATGGAGCTCAAACTTTTTGAGGCTCATTTTTTATATATTTGCCCCAAATTTAGAGGGTATGGTTTTTTAGATTTAGAAATTTTTTTTTTTTGACTACCCCTAATATATATATATATATATATATATATATATATATATATATATATATATATATATATATATATATATATATATATATAAATATATATATATATATATATATATATATATATATATATATATATATATATATATATATATATATATATATATATATATATATATATATATATATATATATATATATATATATATATATATATATGTATATATATATATATATATATATATATATGTATATATATATATGTATATATATATATATATATATATATATATATATATATATATATATATATATATATGTATATGTATATAAATATATATATATATATATTTATATATAAATGTATATATATATATATATATATATATATATATATATATATATATATATATATATATATATATATATATATATATATATATATATAATTTTTATATGTATTTATATTTATTAAAATATGTGGGTGTTT